CATTTTCAGACACATTGCTGAAGCATTGACTAGAAGTCGTGTTATTAACTGTAATTATATACTCATGTTGGTGTTACTTGGTTGGCTATTTGAGGTAACTTAATGACTGCCCTAACTATTACCCATCATGCATTGTTACTGTGTTGGATATCAACAACAAGATCACTTTATGCAATCTTGAAATTTACCAGACTGCACATATTTAAAATATTTTGTCATGATTACATTGATATAAATTTTGGAAATGTGATAATTCATTTTTATAATTCATAAATTTGTTTTTCTAGATACCGGTCTTTCCCGAGGGCTTCTTCTTCAAGGTATATGATGATTGCTTCATGAAGGATTCTGTGTTACCAATCACTACCACCACTGCCGCTTCAAATTCCTTGAGTTTGGACTCTATGGATTTAATTGATCAGCATTTTCTTTATCTATGCTGTCCGTTTTTAAGTAAGTCTATCACCTCTTACGTAATGTGTAACCATGGCGATATTTTGGTAATATTATAATTGCTGTCTGTGTTTTTGTGAAGGTGAATTACGGGTGTTGTTACTGGAGTCAGCTGTAGGTATGAGGTCACAAGGTGGAATGTACAAAAAGATCACTCCCATTGCTGCTGATAAAATAACAGAAGATAACAGTACTGCTAAGAAAAGTGCATTTACTCTGGTAGAGAAACAACTACAGGTGTGTACCATATATCTTAAAGGTAGAATGCTGTGCATGCGTTTTTGACATGTGTACATGTAGCAATACTATTAACACTATGCTTTTACTATTATCTGTAACTATTGCCACTCCTTCCGGGGAATGAGTAAGTTAATAAATAAATAAAAAAATATTAAGTACCCCCCCCCCCCCAGGTAGTTTTCTGTATGTGTATCTTTTTAACTCTCTGTCAATCTGTTCTCAGAGAAATACTGTCAAATTCTGTAAAATAATTTATTTTTGCTTGGAATTAATTTTTGCTATTTTTGCTGAAGGAATGATTCAGCTAATATACCTTACGGTACATTTTTTTCCTATATTTTACATTAAACTTGTCAAAAATCACTGAAAATTAATTCCATACAAAACACCTAAAAAGTCTTTTCAGCGAAAATTAATTCCAGCTAAAATAAGGTACTTTACAGTAATTTACAAGACATGTTAAACTGTAAAAGGTAGTACTGTAAAATCTGTATTAGAAACCGCAGCTTCTAATAAAATGCTACAATACAACAGAGGGGATGTGGCTTCTGTTGCTTCTATTCTATCTATATCTTTTACCCTATATTTTACATTCAACTCGTCAGAAATTGGTAAAAATAAATTACATACAAAACACCCAAAAGGTCTTTTCAGTGAAAATTAATTCCAGCTAAAAATTCCAGCTAAACTAAAGTATTTTACAGTAATATTCATGAAATGGCAATTTAGAAGAGGTGTTCATTGAACACAATGAGAACACATTTCATCATTGAAAATCCACTAAAAGGTTTATCAATTTTTTAATTTCAATCAAGTAAATTCATATAATTTTTTCACCATATATCATCAACCAATATTTTGAGATATTCAGATACATTCTTGTGTAAGAAACAATAGTAAAATGATCTAAAACAGTCAAAATATGTTATTTTGTTGAAATAGATTACATTGTAATTACTATTAATAAACAAAATATCATTTGTTATTACAGTCTAAATTGATTGAGAATTTCTACCACAACCAACCTGAGTCAGTGAAAAAGATCATAGACTTTGTATGTGAGCGAGTTGTAAGTAACTGCAAAACACAGATTCTAACAAGATTACTGGTTGGTATATTTCAAACTGAGCTGAAGGAAATATCTAACATCATCAAAGAAGATTTGTCAACCGAGGAAGAACCAGATACTGCAAAGATTAAAAAGAAACTTTTTGGAAAAATACAGATTGCTTGTGTGAATGCTCAGGCTACTGTGGCTTCTCAAGGGAAAAGGTTAGATTCCACCAGTAGTATGAGTCACATGATTGGTTGATTGGTGTTTCTAACCTTAATTCTAACCAATCCTGTGACTCATTTTGATGGTTGATGTCTCTATTTATAAAGCTATATTTCTAACTCGGGGTTAAATATTATATGTCTACTGTTAAAACTTTTGTTGCAGGTACTGTCAAAATAAATGCCTAAAGTGCATCAAGTTATTATTACCTGAGAATACCAAAGGTGAAGTAGTGAAAGTCTCATCTAATATTGCAAGTCAGCTGACCTATGAGAAGATCTATCAATGGATACAACATGATTTCACAGGTTAGTGAAAGTATCAGATAAGTAATTCTATTCTTGGCATCAACCAGTCAAATTAATCATGAGATCATTTCTAAAGTTGTATTTTGGCTTTTGGACTCTATGTGAAATATTGTATGAATTGAGGAAAATATTTACCAAATGTTTTCAAATTTCAGTGATTCCCAGTATGCCAAAATGTTGGCAAGTTTTGCAGCTTAAAATTTGCTAATATTTGTGAATCCACATCTATTTTGAGTTACTGAGACACTAGCAATATGGGACATTGGTGAATCATCAAATATAGTGGCATTGGGTGATGACTAATATAATTTTTTGCATTCAGAGTTATCAATGTCAGCCAGTTTAGACACTACTTGACTTTGGCTCATTTAATTAAAAATAAAAACGATGCCACTATTCATTGTCAAATTGCATTGCACAGTAGGTTATACATATACACATCGTTTTCACAAATCATTCAGGACTTTTTTGGATCTCAATTGAAAGCATTCATAAAACGATATCTCATTTAGTGATTTTCAAACAAGATCAAATCTAATATACTGTAGTCTGTAGCCAGAAATAGAAATATTGTGTAACATATATTGACTTATGGAAAAAGTTAATGTGCACACTCAAATGAGGTATCTGAGACAAAAATGTTAGTTGATATCATCGCTCCAATCATAAACTGTTTTTTTGTGGTTTGCAATAAATAGCCAAGTTAAACAAGAATCTGTCAGTTGAAGTTGAACAGTTGTTGATGGATGATAAAGTATTAGCATACAGAGAAACCAACAAAGAACACAAAGATTCTAAAGATGAAACATGTGTTCCAACTTCTACTTCTCTCATTCTACAATTGAAGGTAAGTTGAATTCACATCAGTTCAAAATATTTTTTTTGCTGCCATGTATGAACTCTTAACACAGTGCCAAGTGAGGCCTGTAAATTTGTCAGCGAGTCAACCCTCTCTTCCTCCACCAAATTTGTAATTTTAATTCATTAATTTCTATACCTCATATTTTTTTTTTTTTTTTTTTTTTTTTTTTTTAAATATTTTTGTGCCAGGCGACAGTTCTGGACATTGAATGTCACTGTTGTCTCTCCTGACTTTTTTTGTATGTGCAAATTGCAAGTGCTAGTGCTGACACATAGTGCATTTGCCACAGAAGTCATATTCATGTTTGGGACTACATGACAGGGCTGTGTGGCCATCTCTCTGTCAAATGGCAATTTTAATGCGCTATCCTGGCGTCAACCAGGCTCGGTCGAACACAAGCACCTGCAGACCTTAACAAAGGTTCCCCCAAAGTCGCATTCGTTAGTGAATGAATCTCGGCCAGTGGAATTGGCCTTCCCATTGAGTCTGTGGCACACTCACCCAGGGTAAGGGTTAACCCTTTGATGTTCAGCCTAAGGTAGGATTTGAACTTGGGTCTACCGATCATGAGCCTGGAGCGACAACCACTATGCTACCAGTGACTGGCATTTCTATACCTCATGGCATGCTTTATCTTTTGATTTCTACCCACAATGCTTTTGTGGTCATTGGAGTATTTGTCCAATACATGTAATCTTTTGGAAGAAGGGTTTTGGACATGTGCTAGCTCCATTTAAAGCATTATAGGTTAAATACAGTAATCATGCCTTGAATATATCCACTTTCCACTAATACTGGTTTGACAGACATTCCTAAATGCTTTATTTTGTTTTCAGGAATTGTTGAGTAAAATGAGGTGTTGTGAGACAAACAATAAATTTGTTTTAAAGGAGATGGACTCATTACTCCAGACTGTCAGCCTTATTTACCTATCAAGAAAGGTAACACCATATCTCTATCACCTACAAATAGCTGCCATTTCTATTTAATCTTTGGTGAGAAATTTCATTTTCGTCGTCTTTTTGAAAACCACCAGCCAATTCTTATGATATGTAAATTGGGTTGATTTGCTCATATACAGTGTATGATGAGATGTGACCCTAGCCACCACACACATGTTGAACACAGAAAATGGCATTTGTATAGAACTGATATGATTATAAACATGATTTTTGTATCTCTATAGGATAAATCATCTGCAATTTGGTGCAATATTGGTGAATTGATTGTAGAGCTGATGTCAACAGTCATTAAATATCATCCTCAGTCTTGTAATCCTGTATCTGGTGAATCCCAATCTGAAGTGTTATGCACATTTGTACATCTATACAATGAAATGAAAGATGTTATATCATTCAAATCCTTTCTAAGTATGTCACAATTATATGACATGTATGAAAACAAGGTTAGTATATTACATCCATATTGCCATTAAACATCTGAACATTTTGAGACGATACTTCAAATTCAGTACTGGAACCATTTCAAATTTCATCACTGTCGGCATTTCAAATCCTAGTAGATATTCAGTCAGCATGTGTTTTGTGCTGCATGGTATATTCTCTATATATTCTAGTCTAGGTAAATGAAATCTAAACTAGAACAAAAATTCAATTTAACTTTTTTTTTTACTGTAAGGAATCTTGGTTAAGCTTCTTACTAGTTATAGAGATACTTGTAAACAGTGGCCTACTTTGCTGGAATGTCATAGAAAGCAGTTTGTTGAAGTGGTTTGAAAGTGTAGAGAGTATCAACCATGATGTATCAACTAGCACTGTGGAATTGATGGGAAGGTTGTATACTGACGGTATGTACTGTAAATCACACGGCATTATTGTTGACTCAAGGACATAAACCTAAAATACAAATACTGAAATGGAACAAATCATGAACACTATTGTGTAATAAATAACTGGATAATAGACTTAACTGGATACGTATATATAGTGTTAATATGTTACTTTGAGAATTTGTTTTTTATTCCAAAATTGCAAAACTATGTAACAGTTCTCATAGATAAGTTTCTTTTATAAAAAAAATCATTGAACTTACAATTATGATAGTGATGCATATTTATTTTTATTATTTTCAGATTGCAATGACTTGGAAGAAGATGATTTTGTTGACATTATAGCTATTCTTGTACAAAAGTGTTCTGACCATGTCAATGAAACTATTCTACCAGGCTGTTTTAGTGATATCATTGTTTTATGACTTGTATGTCTACAGGGGGTGGACCTGGGGGTTTTGTGTCATTTTACTCAAAACTGTCTGGGAATGGCTCTCTCCTAACTTTAGATAATTACTGATTTAGATTTTGTGTTTTTAACATGCATAACTGCCAGATCAGTTGGAAATCATGTTTTTCTAGTCTAAACACTGCCTTGTCATAAATTACACTGCCATATTTGAGTGGAATATTTTGTTGTACTTGAGTAATTGTTTTAATCATGTTGTAATTTTCACAAGATCTAGATTAAGATTGGATTTAAGTTTATTTTCATTAATTTTAGGATTATCATTACCTATATTTAATAAAAAGTATGATGATAGATGAGTGAATGATTTATGTTCATTCAGGGAACAGCAATAATATGTAAGTTATTGGGAGTAGTTATACAGGTTTGTTAAGTACCACAATACATGGGACATCAACAGGGAAAAAACAAGTAACAATTGTATCTGTGATTTAGACATTCTCTAAAGTTACTAAGTATTCTATTATGTATTATCTGCAAACTTATATAAGGAAATATGGTAGTGCATATGCTGTATCAATGTTCCTCTAAGGGATAACCGATTTTGCTATTGTTAGACCAAATAACTGCAGACATGTTACCAAGGAACCATTGTCAATAACATGACGTACTTATTTTATCATAGCTAGAAAACAAAGGCAGATAAAAAGAGCCAAGATGTGATCGTTTAGGCTACAGACAGTGTAATTCAAAAGTCATTTGCATGACTGAAAGTGTTAAAAAGTGTTTTTAATCGTCAAGATAGTAAAAGAAAAAGTGCAATTGTCCATCAGGTAATCTGTTGGCATGGACATTAGCATATTCACTATCATATTTGTTTTAAGTTTTCAGATAATATATAGGTTGTTATAGTAACATTCTTAACATTGAAAAAAATCTCTGAATGACAGATAAATTTTTAATTAGTTCCCCCCCCCCCTGTTGCTACTATAATAGTGTATTAAATACAGTGTAATTGCACTATACAGGGGACACCAGGTTAATACAGTGTATGACTTTATTTAAAGACTGGCAATACAATACATTTCACACATTTTTTAAGGTAATTTCATATTTTGACAGATTTTAGCATTGTACATGTATTTTAGTATGGAAAACATTTTTGTCACAGTATTATAAACACTATGTACTACATTGGTCAGTGTGTGATATAAAAATAAGACAACTTTTGCAATAGTTGAGGATGGACTGCCATCTTTCTTTAGTTGCAAAAAGTGTGGTCATTAAGTTTGCGTTATCAAGAATAATTGTGTGAAAAATTTGTTAATGTCAATGCAGTTTCTACAGTAGATTAATTTAGTTTTGTTTTATGAAATCTCTTGTAGCTTATTTATATTTTTATGGTCGTATTAATCCAGCACACACTGTCATCATGTAACATTCATTGATAACATGCAGCTAAATACATGCTATGGCTGGCCATCAGTTTTAGTCTGTTTTACTTTCTAAATCTGATCACCTAATTAATAGTTTCACTATGAATGAAGAGATGTGATATTCATATGCTTAACTCCTCACAGTATAAATCAAAGAGTTATTGATAATCTGTTAAATGAAACCAAAAAAATTATTGTACTAAGTGAACAAACATTGAGAATTAGTGGCTATTACTTCTACAACTACTCGTTTTAGTATTAGCTGAATTCCAAGATACTGGATATGTATTTATTGAAATATAATATTATTATTTGTTTTCTACACTTTGCAAACCTCTGTAACTTCAGGACCAGTCACAAATGTAACTCAAATAGAAACATTAATCAGTCGGTTAAGTGACTAATTAATAATATATTTTGTAATAAATGTAAATAATATTAATTTCTATATTGAAAGGTATTGTATGAAAATTATGCAACATCAAAAATACATATATTAATAAAATAGGAGGTTATTATTAGAATAATGCAAAATATGCATGAAGGCAGTTTGGTGTTCATTTCAATTGATGCATTCCTGTACTGCCTGAGCTCATACTTTGCGGTATTCTCATGATAATCTTATTATTACCCCGGTACATATCGTTACCTGCTTGTAGTAATATTTTAATGAGAGATAACACCAGAAATGGCAACAAACATCTTTTCTGGGCAAACGTTTGCATTTGGTGACAGGATTTTTGTGTTTGTATGTGTATGTGTATTCACTTCCACTCATAATAAACTAAAATTGATACACAGATGATGAATGAAATGGTAGATATGTATATCTACATGTACTGAACATTAAAATCAACTAACAGTAATACAATTGTGAGACATTTTGAATGCTTGTTTTAATGCTAGATATATCAGTTAAGATTTCCTCCATCTATACATAGCTGTGGCTCTTTTGTCTGTCCCAACATTATTTCAATGAAGCTTGGGAGAATGCACAAACCTGGTCAGTTTTTGGTTAAAACCTAATATACATAATGATTGGACCATTTTTGGCTTAAGTTTGCCCAAATTTCGTGTGGAAGGGTTACATGGTCTCTGCACGTAATGTGGTTAAATATTTGGGGGGGGGATGTGAGTGGTTGATGAAAAGATGCATTGTGAGTTGTAGATAGGTGATTTTGTGCCATATATTCGGTCTTATTTACTTAATAACTAATCACTGCTAATCATCACATTTCAATAATACTAGGTACATTTTGGTCTCAAGCTATTTATTTTGAGTTACAAAATCTGTGCTTATTAATTATCTAATTTGCCTAATTGTCAATTTTCAGCTTATTCCACCATTAAATGGTCATGTAATATTGTATAATGTACAGCACATGCAACACAAGTCATTGGCCATGCTGCTCAATAACTGCTCATTGCTTCCATGACAACTATAATTATTTATTTCACATAAATTAGTCTATTTTTTAGGTTTATCCACTGATATCTCAATAACAGATTTTAATAAAACCTGATACATGGGTGTCGGTGGGTTAATCCATAAAAATGATTAGTTTAGGGTTTAAACTCATGTATGTAAAATACCTAAATTCACATAAATCAGGCAATTAAATATTTATTTCCATTTTTTTGTACCTTGAATAATATTCTCAGCACACTGGAGTTATTTCTGAACTTTCTTTGATATTTAAATTTCATATATTTGAATTCTTGTATGACCAGTGTACATCGTGATCAGTTCATGAAATGCTGAATGAAGTTTCGACAGTCCCGCTGGCCTAATGTATTTTTCAAATAAAATTTTACAGTACAAACCGAATTGTTTGGGTTATAATCCAGCCAATTGTAAACCAGTTTGAATTTCTTATATCACGGCGAAAACTATATACATAATTGAATGCGCAATAGATCAGTCGTTATTAGCTGCCTAGGGTGGTTGATGTATATTGAATCTCATCTGACTTTACTAGTATCTCATTGTCACCTTAATCTAAAGCTGCATTTATCCAAGGTGCAAGTTCTGATTTACAATAGTTTTTTCAGTGGCGGATCAAGGTTTTGCTACTGATTACTGACGAAACTGATTTAGATTTTTTTATAATGTGTTCTTTTCCTGGGGTGACGTCCGTTTCGTCGCTACAAGTGATATAGCCAATACAATTTTCAGAATTTTACAAGTTATGTGCAGATATAACAACTACAATTTGATATTTACAACCGTACAACCATTAAATATTTTTTTCGAATTAAGTTTTCTTATTGCTTGATTGGTTTGTGTTTCACAATTGATCAACACACTGTTTTTAGCTCAACTTTAGTTTACTGTTTGAATGATAAGTTGGTCACAAGTATCTTGTTAGATACGCACGTACAACGGAAGAAACCTACAGGTAATTGCGCGTACCTGTGAAATGCGCCACTTATGGTAGAATAGAGAAATGTTTGTTTCAAACGATATTTTACAATCCAAATCAACCTCGTGTATTCAAAAGTGTTGTTTATTCAATGTTAAACATCGAATCTTGTGATATAAAATGATCCTGATAAAAAAGAATCAAACCCCGCATTTTTCAATTCCTCCCGGGCGAGAAGCAAACCTTATTTTTGTTGGCCTTGACGATGCTAAGCTTTTAAAATGGAGCTACACATCTGAGGGTAGAAAATATGATCGATCGAACAAATTTTATTTTAAAATTGAGTTAATAATTATTTTACTTGCTTCATTTTTTATGTTACATAATATTTTGATACAATAAGTGGTGTGCGGAGAAACCAATAAACTATGACTAGAATTTACTTATTTTAACAATATTGCTGATGTGCGGTTCCAAGTCAAGTGTTTAATCAAGGTGTCACCAAGATATAAAGCATTATATTTGATGCGACGATGGAGCTATTAGCTCTACGATGATCCTATGTGAATAACTTTGCATTTACTGAGTGAAACCTATTTGTGATGCATATTTAATGACCAGTCCTTGAAAGTTATGAGCAGTCAGTTAGGTTTGTAAACATCATTGATGTCATCGGCAACCATATAAAAATAAGAATATCATCACTTTCTGGCACATCTGCAATAAAAAATGTCAAGTGGTCTCCACGATGACGTACTGTCGCCAACTCACGCAGTTCGATTTATGCCAATCAAGAACGCCATAATCCAAAGCTTTACCTGTAATGCCGAAACTAGAAACTGGTGACTAAAAACTATATAAATTTCTAGAGACAAAATATGAAGAAGAAAGATTCAAATTTGAGAGTCTATGCCGAGTTAAAAAAAAACTACAGTTTTGAACCTTATCTTCCTACATTAAATACCAAATAAAGAATTATTATGTCTAAATTTAGAACCGCAAGTAACCACAATTTAGCAACTGAGAAAGAAAGGCATACCCAGCTAAATGCACTCTCAGAAAATAAAATTGGTAAACACTAATACTCGCTAACTGAGAATCAAGTTGAATTACACTTTTTACTACTTTGCCCTAAATATCATTTAGACCGACAACAAATCCTGGCATATGTCGTATTTTCTGCTAAAATCACCAATTTATTCCAGAAACGTATATATCTACTTAAAAATAGAGATGAGGAAATGATCAAAAGCATTGAATGTTTTGTAAATAGGTGCTTCACAACAAGAAATGATATTGTAGAATTATTCTTTTGATGTTACTTGTACATGAAACTGATAGGAATGTTAATTATTACTATTAAGATTAGGGACGACCCTTTCCAATAATATTTTGTGTATACATGCGGGATGGAAAGCCAAAAATATTTCCCACAATTCATCACGTTCATTCCACCCCCCAAAACACAAATAAATCTATTAAATAGTTAGTTGTGTAGGGGCACTGTTGAGTATATTGATCTGATTACTGAAATATTTGACGCTATTGGCTAACATATTTGAAGTAGTATAAACACTTTCGCTTAGATAACGCTATATATTAAAAAGATACTACATGTATCAACAAAATCGATGCATTCAAGTTCTTGCCATGG